AAAAATATATTTCGAATTTGATAGGTGGTGCTAGGGATGGCAACGGGTCGGGTCTGATCAGACCCAAGACCCGACCCGAAAAAATATATATGGACCCAGGACCCGGATCAGACCCGATTGGACTCGAACTTGATTGGACCCGGACTCGACCTGAAACTACCTGATTGGACCCGACAGACTCGATAGTTTCAGAATTTTAAATATAAATCGAATCCGGACCCGGATCCAGACCTGCCTAAACAATTATCTATTTTTTTTTTCAAACAATTACAAAAAAATAACAACAAATAACAAATAATGAGCAACAACAATAGTAATAATTCAATCCAAAAAAAATAAAACTAAATATTGCATATTATGATATATAATAACCAAACATGTAATCTTTTGTGCATTTATCGTAAAAAATCTAAACACATTAACACAAGTCATCAATCACAACGTAAAATAACAACAATTTTCATTGTTCATCGTCATCTTCTTCTTCATCGTCAAATGCTTTTGAGCATCCGGAAGTCAAATTGCCACCTAAAATCAACAAATAATATAAGTCTTACAATATAATAAAATATAAATATATTAATTAAAAATATATTAAAATTAACTTACAATTTGCCTCATTCCATAACCAATGTCGAGCATATACTAATGCTTCATTCCATAACCAACATGATACGACAATCACTCCAATATTTTTCATACTTTGCAAGCATTTTTTTCGTCATTTCTTGAATCAATACATTTGAACTCTTCACCCATTCATCTAATTTTGATTTTATCTCACATATATGAGCAAAATAAAAATTTGATGTAGGATAAAGAGTTCTAGAAAACAACTTTGTCACCTGATAGAAAATCTTAACTTTCCACATATTTCAATTGCAATTTCTCAATCCTCATTACTTGGCTCACTACTGTAATTTCTCTCTCGGCATTTAAGTCGTGGGAACACATCTTTATAAATAATAGCTGTTTCTAACATCAAATAAGTAGAGTTCCAACGAGTTTTGCAATCCAGAACTAACCTTCTAGAACAATTAATATGCAATTGACGAGCAGCTTCTTCAAATTTCTCAATTCTAGAAGGTGAACCAGTCCAATAAATCACACTATCACGCACTTTTTCAATTGCACCACTAATTATTTCCAACCCATCTCTAACAATCACATTTAAAATATGTGCAGAACAACGCATATGAAGTACATTTCCATCCATCAACATATCTTTTGATGTCAGTTTCCCCAAAATTTGTTGAATCATCGAATCATTGGTAGTAAACAATTATCAACCGTAATAGTTGATAATTTCCTATCAATATTCCAGTCCATCAAATACAAAATAAGGACACTTGATAAGACTTCGGCAGTATGAGGAGCCGATACATAAACAAACCTATGAAATAAAAGAATTGTTCGTAAGTTTCAATTATCTATACAACAAAAATACAAAAATACCAAAATAATAAAATTGTTTTTAAGTAAATATACCTGAAAATGACATTCTTTAAAGTCCAAGAGTCATCAATATAAGATCCAGTAATTGACATAAATCCTTTCTTATTATTGCTTGATGTCCACATGTCCGTTGTGATAGCAATTCGACTATTACGCTTGTCCAATATCTCATAACACTTGCTTTTTTCAACCTCATAAATCTTAAAAATGTGACCTTTCAAAGTGTTTCTTGTAATCATGTTAAAACATGGCTGAAGATTACCAACAAATCTTCGAAAACCATTATGATCGACCATTGTCAATGGATAATCATGCAAAATCACCATTATTGCAAGATCGTGCCTTGAATCTTCTTGATTAAACACACGGGTTTCAAGTGTTTGACCTCCACCAAGTTTTTTGCTTCCCATCATCATAACACTTTGTCAAATGGCCATTTTCCTTAGTCTTTTTTTTTTTTTTACAGACTTTTTCAAAATGCTTCTTCAAATTTGTCATTCCATAACCACTCGGTGCTTTGAGACGGACTTGCAGTAGTTGCATTCTGCATATATCATATCATCAATCTTTTTCCTTTCAAAATGATCCCACCATTCCGATGTCCTTTTTCTTTTACAATCAGTAGAGTCATTAGTTTCCAAATTATCATTATTAGTATTTTCTTCTGGAGTTTTCTGTGTATTCATATTTTTCTGAATACTGCTAACCGACGGAATAGAATTGTCAGCTCCTTCGGAATCCATCTACAAAATAATAAAATAATGCACGTAGGAACTATGAATTATCAATTAAGTTTAAAAAACAAAATTGCATAGGCAACAGACAAGACAATAGGAAGTACAAAATTTGAATTCAATAAACACTGCATTTGAATTAATTTCTAATTTTTATACCAAATAAATTAATAACATTATGAACTATCAAATTATCAATATTTTATTATTATTAAATGTACTATTGTAAACTGGCAGTAATAATAAGCAGAGCATCGAAAGAAAAATTTCACAATAATAATAATAATAATAATAATAATAATAATAATAATAAAAAACACCATCATCTTGATTCAGTTATGAATCAACCGACAAATAAAAAAAATTCAATCACCACCCTGGATTTCGAACTCAACATGAACAAAAATTACTTTTTAACAACCGTTGCTACAATTTAGAACTCAAACTGAACAAAAAAAAAATTTATTTTTTCATTCATTTACTTTTAATTTTTTTATACCAAAAACTCAACAAATAATAGAAAAAAAAATCTCTCACACCAAAATAAATAAGTAAAATTACACAATAACTTAGCCTTATACAAAAAACAGCAGTGCTTAATGATGGAAAATTGAGTTGGAGAATGGATTAGACGAAAAAGAGGGAAGAAATCAACCAAAAACTTGTTGTGATGTGATGGTGTCCTGCATGCATGGAAAGGGGCTGTCGTGAGAATAAAAGAGGGGATGGGGCTGCGTGAGAAAAGAAAAAAAAAGAAGAGAAGGCTGCGCTGCTAGGTTTTATGAGGAAAAATACAATATAATTCAGTTTTTTTTTTTTAATTAAATGGAGGTCGGGTCCGGGTATGGGTCGGGTCTATGCTCGGACCCTGGACCCGACCTGACCCTTAAATTTTTTTTTTAATCCACACCCAGACCCGACCTTAGACCCGAATATTTGGACCCGACCCCAAATAAATGGGTCGGGTCCGGGTCGGGTCTCGGGTCTATCCGAATCCATTGCCATCTCTAGGTGGTGCCTGAGAAAAAGGATTCCTAACGCACTGAATTTAGTTACACTAGAAAAATGATTAAACAACAATTGAAAATATGAAAATGATGATCCCTAATGAGATTCCTTTAAATTTTTTTCAATTGAAAATGTCGATCACTATTTTGCTGAAGTCTTTAAATACAAGCCGACCCAAAATATTCTCAATCGTTTCTCAGTCGGTTGCCCAAATCGTGTGTTAAACCGTCGGTGGTTACGTCCCCCACTTACCTATGTTCTGACTTTGGCGGTTGTAACCAATCACTTTTTACTCGGAAGCTTCATTTGGTTACATCCTCCAGTCGTTCTCTCGCGGCAGTTGAAATTGCCTGGGCAGTTAGGTGGTTGATGGCAGTTAATCTATTGAAGCAGTTGCACTGGCCATAACTCCCTAATTGTTGCTTCGCTCGCTTCGGAATATAAGGGCATAGATCTTTCTCCCTTGTTTGGATGGCTGGAGGACATCAGCACAACTGAAGCGATACTGTTATACTATACGAAATTACACTTTAATGTATTGAACACATAATGTGTAATAGAAAACATGTGATGGTTCTTGGGCCACCTTGAAGCCAATGCACTTGCCATAGCTTGATCTTGATATGTCAAAATGGTAGTCGGTTTTCTTCTGTAAATAGTGCTGGCGAATGTGTCAAACAACCGTTGAAATGAGGGAATAGTCTCGTCGTATAATATTCCAAAAACCACTATTTTTCTGTGGTGATTAACACCAACAAACAATGCTAATGGACGATTTTCCTTAATTTTTTTATATGTAGTGTCGAAAGAAACTATGTCTCTAAAATAAATATAATTTGCTCTCATTCTCCCATCAACCCAAAATATGTTAGTAATCATATCATCTTCATCAACTTGAATAGAATACAAGGAATTTGAGTCTATACTTTGCATTCCTTGCAACTTTTCTAGCACCCCTCTCGTGTCTCTTACTTTCATATCTTTTATTTTCTTCGATTGCAAGTAATTTTTAATATCTTGCCTTGTAAATCCTAAGCTATCCCAACTACCACATTCCTTAACCATTAAATCATTTAAGACTTTTGAAGCAAGTCCCACGTGTTCGGCTATCTCAATCTGCGTAGCATGAACATAATCTATCCTCCAATGTGACAAAAAAAAATTGCTGATGAGTGTGCTTAGAAATAAACTTAAATATTTCGTATTTATCATTGTCCTTCAATCGAATTCTCATCATTGCTTTGCACCTGAATCTTGTAATTGGTCGTGGAGCTCTCATATTGATATTTCGTTTATCTTCTTCCTTTATACCTTCAGCACTACAGCAGAATAATCTAAACTTTATCTCTCCTGCTAGTTATTTCTGCATTTTTTGTCTTCGCATGCCGAAACCAGTTTACTTAGCATAGGCTAAGTAAAACTGATAAGCATCCTCTTCATTGTCGAACTCTTTTTCAATTTGAGGTTTTTCTTCAGAAGAAATGTCATGATCATATGGCTGGTCATCATTTTCCATACCCGTAAAATCTAATCTTCATGAAGACGAAGACTTATTTATCGATAGCTCATCAATCACCATTACCTGTAATATTTATGTATTAACAGTAATATTGCAGAATCCAAAATAAAAAATAACAGATAAATCCTACAATACAATGAAAAATAATAAAATTGTTAGAAAATAAACATATAATCAAATATGTTAGCGGAAGCGGAATTTAAACAAACCTCCAGCCATTGCTAAAAATTAAATTTATTCTTGAGATCTCCTTCTTCAAGAAGGGTAGTTGGAACCGTGGAAAGATGGTGTTGCCAAGCTCTGGAACCTTGGGAGGATGTTGCCAAACTTTGGAACCCTGCGAAGATATTGTCAGATCCTGGAACCCTAGGATGACGCTGCCAAACCCTGACTCTCAAACAGCGATGGTGTATTCTAATTTTCTGAGAGTAGGTTTAGTAATCCGTATGTGAGAGTATTTATAATTATAAAGAAAAATCGTCCATCACGATTTTTCTGCCACTTCTCACGTATATTTTGAATGTGATAGACTTAATGGGAGAAAAGTGGGCCACAATTTAAGGCGAGTTTAATTATATAAGATAATTAAAAAATAATCAAAATTCAAATATGATTAATTAATTAATTAAACTAACAAAAATAACAACGAAATCCTACAATACGATGAAAATTAATAAAATAACAGAAAAATTTTACAATACAATAGACTTGTAAAATTTAATTTTATACAATAATAATAAAACCCAAAACAAAAACTATTTTGATAGAACCCCTACCTTCCAGTGGTGTTAACGCGGGAGCAGTGGTGTTGGCGGTCGTGTCGGCGGTGAATCCTCATGGAAGGAGTACAGGTCGTAAGAGGCAGGACGGATTGTTCGGTGGTGAACAAATCGTAGAGGTTGAAAGCAGGAGTACAAAAAAAAAAAAAACAAAACAAAACAAAAGGCAGAGACTCATTTGCAAATTAACATTTAAATTTTTTAATTTTTGATTTAATAAAATAATATAAAAACTTAAATCTTACTTCTTCTACGTGTGGCTGTGTAATGGATTGGACAAAATAGATAGGATAAAATTTGGACAGAGAATCCGAAGCCGCGGTTGAGCCATGAGAGAAGAGGACAATCATTGTGTATTTTTTTGTTTTAAAATATTTTAGTTAGAAAAAATAGATGGTAAAACCAAGAGCACATAATAAATGAAGACATTTTCATTCCTAAATTGTTTTAATAGATTATATTATCAATTAATCAAACTATATAATACTACCTCCGTCTTACATATCGTGTCTGCTACACTGTAGACACTGTATTTTAGGAGGGATGTAATGAGTAGATAATTAAGAATATATTAATGAATAATTATCCTATAATATAAATAATTATAAATTAAAATTAAGATAATGTTGTACACAAATACAATACGTAGCATTTCGTTGGCATACACTTACCGTAGGTGTGGATGTTTGTGATTGGTTGGAGTAACCTATATATATGTATACCATGATGTATTGAAAGAAATCAATTATCTACACTTAGTCTTCCCCCTGTCATTCTCTCTGCACTGCATTAATTAGATTAGAACATATCATATTTAATATATATGCAAAGATAAATATAATAATATATACTTACAATATATATACATATACATATATATATATATAATTACCAACTTATATATTACACTTATTATATAACACGTTATCAGCACGAGGGCTTTTGCCTATTTTATTTTTGGTAAGTTTTATTTTTATACTATATATATATTATCTATTTTATACACTATGGAAAATCTTGCAAAATTTTCTTTTAAACCTCTATCTCTCACCGACAACAATTTTCTGACTTGGTCCTTAAATGTAGAAATGCATCTGATTTCAAAGGGCCTTGTTCATACAATTGCCAGTAAAAATACGGCTACAAGCCAAGATCGGGCTAAGGCTATTATTTCATCCGTCATCATTTGGACATTTCTCTACAGTTTGAATATTTGAGGGTGAAAGATCCACTTGATTTGTGGAATGAATTGAGGGAGAGATTTGGACACTTGAAATATATCACTCTCCCCAAAGCCCGACATGATTGGCTTAACCTGCGATTGCAGGATTTTAAAACTGTTACAGAGTATAACTCTGCTATCCATCAGATTACATCTCAGTTGAAACTCTGCGGAGAAAATGTTACTGAAAATGATAAATTGGAGAAGACTCTCTCTACCTTTCATGCTTCGAATGTTGTGCTGCAACAGCAGTATCGTGAGAAAGACTTTCAAAAGTGCTCACAGCTCATTGCATGTCTTCTATTAGCTGAGCAAAATAATGAGTTATTGATGAAAAATCATCAGTCCCGGCCCATTGGTTCCAGTCCGTTCCCTGAAGCGAACGTGACATTTTCTGAACGAGGCCGAGGACGTGGTCGCGGTCGCGGTCGTGAGAGTCAACGCGGTCGATATACCCCTTACAATCGCCGCAGTTTTGACATTAACAAGATGCAGAGTAAACCCCAACATGGGGATATAGCCGAAAAGGATAAACAGGGAAAGAGGCAAATCGGCAGTTGTAATCGGTGTGGCATTGAAGGCCATTGGGCCAATACCTGCAGAATAGCCAAACACCTAGCCGATCTTTATCAAGCCTCACTGCAGAAAAATGGGAAGGAGGTCGAGACTAATTACGTTGATAACGATGACGACCCCGATGATGATCTTTTGGATTACGACACAACGCATCTTGATATAGCGGATTTTGTCGTAGATCCATCAAACCCCCAGTGATAGACATATTATGTCATTTTACATTACGTTTTGTAATATTTAAATTATCGCATATTACCTTTTTGTAATGTATTTTTTAATATTTATATCTTTCTTTATTAATACTGCATTTACTTATATTTGAAGGTTAAATGGGTGCCAATCAAAATGATGCAAATATGTGTTTTATTGAAAGTGCAACGACATATACTATATTGAAACACGAAAAATATTTCTCCCATTTGAAAAGGCAAAGAATGAATATCAATACAATAAGTGGCAGTGCGAAATTAATTGAAGGCTCTGGAGAAGCCATTATGTTTCTCCCCGCGGGACGAAAATTATGATACAGTATGCACTGTTGGCCACTAAAGCTCGAAGAAATCTACTGAGCTTTCATGACATTTGGAAAAATAGTTATCACATTGAAACTATGAGTGATACCGATGGTGAATTTTTATTGATCACCAATATCATTGATAAAAGGAAATGCATCATTGAGAGATTACCCTCACTCTCTACTGGTTTATATTATGTCAGATTAGGTGTTGTTGAAACACACCTTACGGTAGATCAAAAGACTACCGATTTTCAAATATGGCATGATCGCCTTGGGCATCCTGACAGTATAATGATGAGGCGAATAATTGAGAATTCGCATGACCATTCATTAAAAGGTCAAAAAGTGTTAAACTCAAATGAGTTAACATGTGTTGCCTGCACTCAGGGAAAATTGATAACCAGGCCATCGCCAACTAAAGTAGGTATTGAATCACCTACATTTTTGGAAAGAATACACGGGGATATATGTGGACCAATAGACCCACCGTGTGGGCCATTTAAATATTTTATGGTGCTTATTGATGCATCTACCAGATGGTCACATGTCTGTTTATTATCTACTCGCAATATGGCATTTGCGAGATTGCTTGCCCAAATTATTAAATTACGGGCACAATTCCCCGATAATCCAATTAAGATTATACGTCTGGATAATGCTGGTGAATATACATCGAATGCATTTGATGATTATTGCATGTCGATTGGAATTAATGTAGAGCACCCAGTTGCTCATGTTCATACACAAAATGGCCTGACAGAATCACTTATTAAAAGATTGCAATTTATTTCTAGACCATTACTGATGAGGTCTATGTTGCTCGTTTCAGCTTGGGAGCATGCAATCTTACATGCATGAACACTTATAAGAATGAGGCCGACAAGCTATCATAGCTATTCCCCAATGCATTTAGTATTTGGTCACGAACCAAATATATTTCATCTACGTATTTTTGGGTGTGCTGTTTATGTTCCTATTCCACCCCCCAAACGTACAAAAATGGGTCCTCAACGTAGATTGGGAATTTATGTCGGATATGAATCGCTGTCAATTATAAAATATCTTGAACCTATGACGGGTGATTTATTCACTGCAAGATTTACAGATTGTCATTTTGACGAATCATATATTCCGACATTAGGGGGAAACAGAAATGAACCAAAAAGAGATATTAATTGAAAAATCCCATTGAATTTTTGTGATCCTCGTACAAAGTAGTGTGAACTAGAAGTTCAACGCATTACACATTTGCAAAATATTGCAAATCAGTTACCGGATGCATTCAATGACTCGAGCAAAGTCACTCGATCATATATTCAAGCTGCTAATGCTCCGGCTAAAATAATTGTCCCTTATGGACAAATTGCAAGTGCTAATGAATCAACGACACGCTTAAAGCGTGGTAGACCACTCGGTTCCAAAGATAAACACCCTCGAAAGAAAAAAGGAATTAATGATGATAATCATGAAAATATCAGAAACGACATTGATAAACCTCAATCTAACGAGGAAGTCAACCCTGAAATAATTGCTCCAGAAGAGCACGACTTTGAAGAACATGATGAGATTATTGAAAACTCAATTAACTATATTACTTTAAGAAAATGTTAGAACCGTAAAGAGACAATTATTGATAATGCCTTCGCATACAATTTAGCACTTGATATAATGGAAGAAAACGAGAATCCAAAGCGAAAATCGGTTCATGAATGTCGGCAAAGAAATGACTGGCTAAAATGGGAACATGCGATTCAATCAGAGCTTGACTAATTAAACAAAAGAGAGGTCTTCGGACCAATTGTTCAAACACCAAATGGTATAAAACCAGTTGGATACAAATGGGTGTTTGTACGAAAAAGAAATGAGCATAACGAAGTTGTGAGATATAAAGCCCGTCTTGTAACTCAGGGATTCTCACAAAGGCATGAAGTAGATTTTGATGAAACGTACTCTCCAGTTGTTGATGGAATAACATTTAGATACCTTGTGAGCCTAGCAGTGCGAGAAAAACTCGATATGCGTCTTTTAGACGTAGTCACTGCATATCTTTATGGCTCATTGGATACTGATATTTATATGAAAGTCCCTGAGGGATTCAATATGACTGAAGCATACAAATTAAACCCAAGGGAATCATAATCCATCAAGTTGAAAAGGTCATTGTATGGACTTAAACAATCAGGGCGAATGTGGTATAACCGTCTGAGCGAATGTTTAATAAAAGAAGGTTATACTAATGATCCAATATGCCCATGCGTCTTTATAAAGAAAAATGGATCACATTTTGTCATTATTGCTATATATGTTGATGATCTCAATTTAATTAGAACTACTGAAGAGATCCAAATTGCAGTTGAATATCTAAAGAAAGAATTTGAGATCAAAGATTTTGGAAAGACAAAATATTGTCTGAGATTACAGGTGATCATGTGAACAATGGAATATTTATCCATCAATCAACATATACCCAAAAGGTATTAAAACAATTTTACATGGATAAATCTCACTCTCTGAGTACACCAATGGTGGTCAGATCCCTTGATCCCAATAAAGATCCATTTAGGCCAAGAGAAGAAAATGAAGAGATACTTGGTCCTGATGTACCATATCGGAGCGCTATTGGCGCATTAATGTACCTCGCAAATTGTACCATGCCATATATATCTTTTTTCAGTAAATCTACTGGCCAGGTCTAGCGCATCCCCCACAAAGCGCCATTGGAATGGTATCAAGCACATTTTTCGTTATCTTCAGGGAACTCATGACCTCGGTTTATTTTATTCAAGTGAATCTCGAAATGAATTAACTGGTTATGCTGATGCTGGTTATTTGTCTGATCCGCACAAAGCAAAACCTCAAACTGGCTATTTATTTACTTGTGGTGGAACCGCAATCTCTTGGAGATCTGCTAAACAGAAAATAATAGCTACTTCTTCAAACCATGCTGAAGTTTTAGCAATTCATGAAACCAGTCGTGAATGCGTTTGGTTGAGGTCCATGACTCACCATATTCAGAAAAATTGTGGCTTGATTACCGGTGATAAATTACCTCCTACAATATTATTTGAAGATAATGCAGCTTGTATAGCTCAATTTAAAGGAGGTTATATTAAAGGCGATCGGACAAAGCACATATCTCCGAAGTTCTTTTTCACTCATGATCTTTAGAAAAGTGGTGAAATTAATGTGCAGCAAATTCGATCGTCTGAAAATTTTGCAGATTTATTTACGAAGGCGCTACCGACTGCAACATTTAACAAACTGGTGCAAGGAATTGGAATGCTTCGGATGAAAGACATCAAATAAAGTCCAAAACAGGGGGAGCGCATTAATACAAGAATGATGTACTCTTTTTCCTTCACTATGATTTTTTCCCATAGAGTTTTTTCATAGTAAGGTTTTAACGAGGCACATTCTTTGTATAAAACATCCAAGGGGGAGTGTTGTACACAAATGCAGTACGTAGCATTTCGTTGGCATACACTTACCGTAGGTGTGGATGTTTGGGATTGGTTGGAGTAACCTATATATATGTATACCACGATGTATTGACAGAAATCAATTCTCTACACTTAGTCTTCCCCCTGTCATTCTCTCTGCACTGCATTAATTAGATTAGAACATATCATATTTAATATATATGCAAAGATAAATATAATAATATATACTTACAATATACATACATATACATATATATATAATTACCAACTTATATATTACACTTATTATATAACAGATAACTAATTAATTTAATTAAAATAAAAAAATAAATTAAAAAGTTTAAAATGAGATTAAAGTCTGTAATCATTTTCCAAAAAAGGAAAGTGACATGGTATATAGAACGGACAGAAACGGCAACGTGGACATGATATGTGGGACGGAGGGAATATCTACTTTGTATAATTAAATACAGTATTAGATAAAATTATATTATATTTATTTTGTATAATTATATGATTTGATATGATTGTTTTTTTGTTTTTTACCTAAAATATTTTTCACAATCTTATTATAAATTATAATACTACTCTTATTCCATAATCTATATGCAAAAGGCAAATGACAATCTTTTTATGAGATAGAGGGAGTATAAATTGTTTTATACATTTTTTTTTCTAATAGCAAATATATAACAATATATTAAAATTTAATTGTGATATTATCATAATATATATATATATATGTAATTTGATATTTATTTGCTAATTCAATTTAATTTTATCTTCAAAATTATAAATTATGTTTTAGGAATATACTTTATGTTGTTCTTATTACTTTATATTTTATTAATTAAAAATTAGAAAAGATAAATTACATTTAAAATAAAATCAAAATATATTAAAAAAAAAAATTATTTTATTTACTTCTAAGTGTCTATGTCTAAAAGGTACAATAATTTGAATATTTTATTAAATAGAATTAAATAACACCAGAAAAATAGATTGTATTAATAATTTTATAAATTAGTATTATCTTATTGTATGTATATATATATATATTTTTTATCTGATTGTATTTTTAGTTATATAGAACATGAATACAGTAAAATAAATACTAAGATTAGATAAGATAAAATAGTATTATCAATCATAATCTCATATAGTAAACGCACTTTGTTTTGATTAAAATGAATTATTTGGAGGGAATAGTTTGTTCTTTTTTATTTTAAATTGAAATCAAT